AGAAACAAGTCACATTGAAGATCAGCTCACATTAAAATGTTATAAAGCATGCAAAGAAACAAGCCACCACAAATGTGATTCAGCAAGTACAACATAATGGGAGAATTTACACTTTATCAACCCCAGACAACAGATCAATTTCAAAGAGACTTTTAAATAAATTTGTTTAAAATCTTCAGAGAGATAAAGGAAAGAACGGACTCCAAGACAAAACTAAGATATGAAAAAGAACACATAGATTTGAAAAAGAATAAAATTAAAACTCTAGAAATGTAAATAAATAAAAATTCAATGGACACATTAAAAATTAGACAATACAGTTGCAAAGAGAATTAGGGAACTGGATGATAGATCTGAGAAAATTACCCAAGATCAGCACAGAGAAGTATAAAGATGGAAAATATTAAAGAAAAATTAAGACATGGAGGATAAAATGAGAAACTCCAACTCATATCTAAAAGGAGTTCCAGAGAGATAAAATAGAGAAAAATGCATGAGGTGGGGGTGGAAGGAAGTAATATTTGAATACACAAGAGCTGAAAATTTTCCAAAACTGAAGGAGTTCTCAGGCTGAAGATACATACCAAGTCCTGAACAAGATACCTAAAAACAAAATCCACTTAGATAAAAACCAATAATGAAAACATCAACTGAAAAAAGAAAACATTAAATTACTATAGAGAAAAAAAATCTATAAAGGAATAATAAGGAGACTGACTGCAGACTTCTAATTACTAGCAGTAGATGCCAGAAGGTAATGGAATAGTAATTTCAAGGTGTTGGAGTCAATAATTGCCAACTTAGAACTCCTTAGCTGAAGAAATTATGATTCAAGAGTGTGAGAGACAATAAAGTGAGAGTGAAATACAAAGACAGAGAATTTTACTCACAGATACGATGAAAAAATCCTAAAGAATGTACTTCACCAAGACATAAATTGAGCCCAGAAGGAAAGAGTGAGATTTAAAAAAAGCAATAGTAAAAGGAAAAGCATTAATAATATATGTTAGAAAAATTAATTAAATAATAACTATAAAAGTAGTAATGATGATGACTAATTTAGTGGGGAATTGAAAAATAAGAGGGAATTTAAAAAATACAAAATAGCAATACACAGTTTATATGAGAGGAACTTGGGAGTTAAAGTGTTTTCTTTATTTTTGTTTAAGATTATCTTTAAAGGAAGAGGATGAAGATATTGACTAATCTTAGATGTTAAGTATATATGTTAATATTTTAAGGGTAACCACTAAGAACTGAAATAGAACATATAAATTCCAAATTAGTAGAAGTGTATAGAAAAAGGGGGCAAACTAAAGAAAATGCAATTAATAGAATAGAAGGCAAGAAAGGAGAAACAAGAAGCAAAGAAAAGGAAAGTTAAATAAATATGAAATGAAAGGGTGGTAATAAATCCAAAGATGGTGATCATAATGTGACGGAGAGTGCTAGTTTTCACCAAAATCTATTTTCTTGCTTCCATGGCAATAGAGTTGTGGTTGGGACATGGCTATCCGACTAGTGGCCTCATTTTCCTTCTCCTTTGCTGCAGAGGGTGACCATGTCACAAAGTTCTGGCCAATGGGATATGAGCAGATGAGAACTGTGCCACTTCCGGGTCTAGGCCTTAAGAATTTGGGCTTGTGCTCCTTCGTGCTCTCTTCTTCTTTTCTCAAGCTGGAACTCCTAATCAACTTCCACCAGGCATATAAATACAATACCCTAGGGGATGGAATAGCAATATGGGGCAAAGGAGCCACCCAACAAACTGGACCACTTATCCTAAGACTGTTTCATGAGAGAGATATAAACATTGTGTTTGGGGGAAGGCAGGGAGGAAGGATCTGTTTCTTACAACATCCTTTTACCCTAATTAATATACATAATAAATGAAAACTGATTAACATAGACTACTTTAATAATATCGAAATTCAAGTGTTATTTACAAGACACACTTAAAACATAATGACTCAGAATGGTTGAAAATAAAGAGATGGAAAGATATATACTAGGAAACCACTAAGAAAAAGAAAGCTATTGTATCACACAAAATAGAATTTTTAAGGGGAAAAATAATGGACAGATAAACATAATAAACTTAAGTAGGCAAACTGGGTTATAGTCCTGGCTTCGTGATTTACAGCAAAATCGGGTAAATTGCTTTATTCTTTTTTAGTTTCAGTTTGCATCTCTATAAAAGATAACATATTATTTGCGGAATTGTGAGATAATGCATGGGAAACTGATTTTCTATAGCCATAAAACTATAGTAACTCAAATCCTATCACATAATTAATTCAGTCAACATTAACTGAGCACCTCTTACACATCATAAACTGTATTGAGAACTAGGAAGATGGAGGTAAGTCAGTCATAATACTTGTCATCAGAGAGATTATATGTAAAGAATGAGTTTAATAAAGTCTTCTAAGGCTTATGCTGGGCAGTGCATTCAGTCTAGAGAGAGCAGCCAGATCTAACCTGCAGCAGGGTCAAAAAAAGATTTCTTAGGTTGAATCTTGAAAGATGAGCAGGTGTTTGAACAGGCTGAGTAAGAAGAAGGATATTCCACGAGAGGGCACAGCGTAAAAATAAGTGGCCTGATAGGGAACTGCATGTGAGGAAGGCAGAGTGTTTGATGAGACTGGAGAAACAGATATTGGCTGAGATAATGAGACGTCATCCTACAGGTAATGGGAAGCCATTTGAAGGGCTTATGCAGGAAATGACTTGCTCAATTTTGTACTTTAGAAGGCTTACTTCAGGCATAATGTGAGAGATGGCGGGGGGAGGTGCGATTAGCTTGGAGGGAGTGAGACTAATAAGGAAAGTAATGCAACGTTTCGGGGACTTGAGACAAAGGACCTGAAACTAGGCAAGAGCAGTGAAATGGAGGGAAAGTGACAGACAGGAACATCTAGTGCATGGAGAGGGCAACGGGAGGGAGGAGGAGGAGACTGGGACAATTTTCAGACTTCTCCTTTGGGTGACTAGATGGATTGTGGAGACATTTACTGGGAATGAGACTAAAGAGGAAAGCCAGCTGGCAGGAAAGTTAACTTCTGTTTTAGTCAAGCTGAGTTTAAGGCCCATGGGATGTCTGGGTAGAGATTTCTGGTAAGAAATTGGCTTTCTAGATTGGAGATCTGGGATAGGGATAGACATTTATGAGTTATCAGCACATGGCTGGTTGTTGAAGTCATGGGTGGGTCTGGATAGGTCAGGCAGCACTGGAAACACACCAAGGGCAGATTATTTAAGCCCTCCAACATGTGAGAGATGGCAAAGGGGCTGAGCAAGAAATGGTTAGAGACTGGAGACTGAAGTGTCACAGGAGCCAATGGAAGGGATAGTTTTGAGGACAAAAGTCTGGTCCCCAATGACAAATGCTGCAGATAGGTAAGCAAGAAGAGAACCGGGAAAAAAACTCCACAAAATCCTAACTCAATGGTTTAGGGCATTTTACAGCCACAGGTGACCTTTGTTAGGGTCGCCTCGGTAGAACAGTGGGCACAGAAGTCGGTTTGCAGGGAAGAATGAGTGGTGGATTAAGAAACGGATGTGAGAATAATGAGAACAAGGCTTTATCTCCCAAAGAGCTTAGCTGTGGGGAAGTGGGGACTGGAGGCAGACTAGATCCAGTAAGCGTTTTTAAATTTTCAGTTTGTTTGGAAAATGTGTGAATGTGTCTGACATGACTAAGGGAAGTGGGAAGATGCTTCTGGAAGGAGCCTGAAAGTCCAGAAGAGGGAATAACCTGTGAAAAGCCATTTTTGGATTGGAACTAGATGGAAACCGTCTTCGATGCCAAAAAGATGATCAGAAAACTCTATTTGAAACGCTGTTTTCAAAAGGTGGGAGGCGGTGACTTGCCATTTACTGAGCGCTCACTGCAAGCCAGTCCCTTGCCCTAATTTGAACGCATGCCCGAATTGGAAAGCAGATCCACTCATGAGCCGGTTTTCTTTCCACGAAACCGTTAATCATTAAAAATGAATAAAAGAAGCACTCCCTCAAGCTTAACCCCTCTTGCAGATGCTAACCCCATCTGCAAGCTTTTTAACATCACCAAGAATAAACCATTCCTGGAGCAGCTGGTTCACGAGCGGCTCTGGAGTGCAGTTATCTCCCTTGCTCTGTTGAAGTCGGCTACTGTCCAGTGAGATTTCGTTCAAGCCTCAGCGCCCAGAGGAGGGGAGGTGCCTGCAGCGCGGGCAGCCAGCGTTTGGAGGGAGGCGGGCGCGAGCTGCAGGCATCGGGAGAGGGAGACAGGGAGAGGGGCGCTGGGAGGTGTCTCCCGGGACTCGCGGCCACCGCCGCTCCCGTCGCCAGCGCGTCAGCCGGACCAGCCGGGCTTTCCCTGCCGCTCCCGGCGGCGACTCGGCGCCCGGCCCCGTGGGAGGCTGCTTCTATCCGCCCGGCTGCCCGGTGCCCGTGACCACCCGGCGGCCGCTTTCGGTTCCGCGCCTTATAAGGCCTGACAGGGGGGTCACGTGCGTCCCGGGCCGCCCGCCGGGAGGAGGGGGCGGCAGGGGGAGGGGCGGGAAGCCGGGAGGAAAAGGGGAGGGAGCCGGGGGCGGAGGAAGGAGCGGGGGGCGGATTCTGCAGCCGTGGGAGGTGGCGGCAGCGGCGGCGGTGGGGAGCGGACCGCTTGGAGCTGGACCGACGAGGAGGAGGAGGTGGAGGAGGTGGAGGAGGTGGAGGAGGAGGAAGGGACCGGCGCGGGGGCGGGAGAGCGCAGCGCGGCGGAAGCCGGAGACGGCGGGAGGGCCGGTGGCTGGCCCCGGGCGGGAGCCGGGGCG